GAAACCTAGAATTTTTCCGCACTTACATTTGGTTGTTAGTAAATATCTCCATCAGTAGCCTACTAAAGACAAAAAAATTAGCCAGGCACAGGAAAGCGAAGCAAAATTTGAAAATCATAAGATACAGTATAACACGGATAGCTCGAATTCTTCGGGACCGGCCTTGGTAGTTCAAGGGAGCCGTAGTTCGAAGGATATCTTACAAAAATAAAGAAGAAGAAACAAACGGGACCGCTGGCATAGTTCGACAGATGCATGATTCGAGTCTTCTGTGTTATACTGTAGTTTCTCTAACAATAGCATCAGGCCGTCTAGCACCATCCTGGTGTTTTTGTGACCTGAACAACAAGTGCAGTAAATTGCTATAAATGTAAAAATTCTACTGAAATAAACCCTGTGTTATGGGAAAAAATGAAATTTAAAAAAAAAGTAGCAATAGCTTGAAATATGTACCAAATACTGGCCAAACATTCGTCCAACATTTTCACTCCAGTCTACAAATCAGTGACCAATAGAACTAGGTAGAAAAATATATAGCTTTAATATATCAAGGCTGCATACTTATCCTTAGCAATCATCAGGGACAGGGTCTGTGCCAATTTTTTTGCAATTTCTACCATCAACTTACGAACATGAATTGCGCAAATAAGTTCTCTGAAAGTTGAGAAGCCACTCTGATCTTAATAGATTCATCCTTCACTGAGAAAATATCACCAAAGCAAACATTTTTTAAATTGTGAAAAGATGCAATCATTCCAAAATAATTTCTAAAAGAATAAAAAATGGATGGCCAGCCAAGGGAATGTTTACAGCAAAAAAGTCACAGAAAAAAATAATGTAAAGTACATTTCCGCTATAGTTGACAATCATGAGTGAACACAGAAAAAGTTAAAGAAAAATTCTGAATTGACAAAAAACAATGTAGCTCCTTGTAGACCATTCTGGAAAAATGCTCCACTGATTCTTTGACAAACGTTATCAATTCTAACAGTGTCAGCGTAAAATTAAACTGCTTTCACAAAGCCAAAGATAACCTGTGAATGCAGACAATGGAATTCTTAAGATTACATACAGCATAACCAACACAGTGATAATATTCATTTTTTAAGAGGGAGTAAACTTTCTTTTCATTCTTCGGGAAACTTTGGGAAGCTTAACTAAGAAATTTTCCTCTCTCTGAAGGAAAGTAATGTTTAGTCCATCATTTCTCTCTTTGTTTATTGGAATTTTCTGTCAAGGCATAGCACCCTAAGAAAGAACATTTGTCAAGACTTGGCTGAACAGTAAGGTGTTGTACCCTAAGAAAGGACATTTCAGTTAGAACTGGGGCTGAACTGTAAGGTACCTTACTGTATGAGTACAGTGTACTCTCCCTTTTTACAAGCCATGTCATTATTGATTCAGTTGTCAAAACATAACTGTACGTGCCTCCAATTTAACACTTTGCCCCCATGGGACGCTGATCTGCGACGGTGTGACGTAACAACTAAAACATTGCAGCAATGATCTCCTTTTTGACATGTGCACTTGTTAAAGTTAAATTTCCTTTTTGAATGGTTTGTGTGGCCTTTGAAACCGAAAATCAGTTTGTATACAACAATTGGAGTAAATTCTTTTAAAAAAAATGTCAAGCATTAATGCTGCTTTTCTCTTACGCCATGATGAAAATTTGGGTGATGAATGAGCTAGATCTAGTGTTTTCAGTTCCGACAACGTGTAATCATCACTTTCAATTTTCTCAGTATGCTGAAAATTTCACAATGGTTGGGGAATTTTTGGCAAGAAACAGGGGTAGTATTGACGTAACCCAGCTGCGCCCTGGCCCGTGGGGATAAATGTTGTGTGTTCTGCGCACTGTGAGAGTGGAAAGTGTTAATGAACATTCATCTCTTTCAGAACTGAGCGAACTAAGTGAGTATATTTAATCAACGCAGAGAAGCTTTTAAGATGGATAACAATTTTGATGGAAATGAAATGGAAAGACAAAATTAAGATCTCAGATTTAAAACCGTCAAGCCAAGTAAGAGACCCTGTCCACAGGGGCCGCTTGGTACAACTGTCACTTTTCTCTGTGATCTCGGGTGACCATTATGGATAGGTTCAACTGTAATTTACTTCCTTACATCAACACTTAATGTTATGAGAAAACATTTTATGGTGCAAACAATCTACAATAATGCGATGATTGCTCTACAGTATGAAACTTTAAAAACTGTACGGAACACTTTTGAAAGGGTGATATTGAATGACAGACAGCGAGATCAAACAAAGAAAGTAATGCATGAAGAGAACACAAAACCCAACAAAAAAATTCCAATTCTCACACAGAAAGGCGCAACAAAAAGCTAGCTACAAAAACAATATAACTTTAAACTAAAACCCCTTAAAAAATTCAGTAATTCACATAGGCTTATACAAGGAAATATACATAAATAACCTACACACTACAGTCCCTTATATGAAACCTTTCTACACATGAGTTATGAACACAGTCAAGTCTTGTAGTCACAGAAAGGAATATGTGTAGCGACGTGGTGGAATCAGGCGCTCGTCAATTTTTGGGTATAGAGAGTTATTGGTATTATCTCAAAGCTTGTTAATTTGTCTTGCTCATGGCGAAAAAAATACCCATCTTTGCCATTGAAGGAGTTGGGGGTTGCCTGGTGTGAGAAGTAAAATTAGCGAGAAAATTGGTGCTAAAGTTTGGTGACTTCCAAAGCTTGAGTGTCCTTGGAAACTGGAAATTTACATTTTTTACATTTAAATTTTTTTTGTGTAGCATCCACAGAGAAATGTGTTTTTAACTCATTCGCAACGCGAGTTGCGAGCGCCTTAAAACCCTATACTACTACTACTACTACTCGCGACGCGTGCCGCACAAGCTGCGGGACAAGTACATTGGCGCTACCGGCCGCGTCCCGCACCCTATGCGGGACCGATTAGTCAAAGGAAAAACATCGGGTAAATCCCGATACATATGCGTGAAGTGGCCTCAGAATAACGCAGTCACCTTTCTTACACCATTAGCTGTAATCCAAGTTTTGATAGGAAGCGAACCAAACTTTTGGTAAATAAAAAACTACGACCACCCCAGAACAATGAAAATAGCCATTCCTCTCCACTGAAACTGAACATGAATGCACATCGAAAACGAAAGTGTAAGCCCAATAACAGGCTAAACGACTTGGAAATTTTTGAAGTAGACTCTGATATATCAGATATTGAATATGACTCTGATGGGGATCCACAATTTGTGGTAAAACAGTGAGATAAGGATAGATTGACTAGATCTAGTGATAGTGAGTCAACGAACGACAGTTATGTTTCAGACCTTATGTTTCAGACCCTGACCAACCAGGTCCATCCAAAAGGAAAGGTCCGAAGGTAAGTCTAGATCTAGATCTAGAAGATCTGCTACTAAAAGTAAAGACAGATTTATTGAAACTGAAGAAGTTTTAGATCTACAAGATGTTAAAAAAGCAAGTGTTGCAGCTGGGAATGGTCGTGGTGATGACATGGCTTTATTTCATTTGTTATTTTTGCATTATATAATGTCTCCAAAATTTATGCGCAAGACAAAATTTCATCAAAAGTTATATGGGTGTATTTAAAAAACCAATAAAGATAATGACTTCATTTTTATTTTTGTTGGAAACCTGGTCATTTCCATAAAAACATATACAAAGGAGAAAGTGACAGCTTTATTAGTTTTTGAGATACAGCTTATCAAAATATGCCCCGAAATGCCAGTCTTGAGAGATTGTGCCCTGAAATTTCCGTCATTCTCCAGTGAGTTAAAAGGACATCAAAGATTTTGAGCCCCCCCCAAAAAAGAAAATTTGAAAAAAAAATTGACCAACGCCCAGAAAAATGCTGATTTCTTTGATTTCATTCGTATGATGAGATCCTGGTTTCACCACGCTGCCTCACATATGATTAACCTCAGCCACCACGTCTGAGCAAGTTCTATTGGAGTGGAATAAGTATAAAAAAATAACATCAACATCGTGCAGAGTGAGTTCTGGAATTAACAACAAAAACCAAAGTTTTGGAACATAGGTGGAATGGGAATGCAAAAGGTATTATGGCTTTTGTCGTACAACAGTGGTATTCAAACAGATTTTGGTTGGTCAGCAGCATGTCAAATAGCTGTCATTACTGAGAACAGGTTTAAAAATACGCATCAGGATTTTGGAGTGACGTCTATTAATTTAATTGTAAAAGAGAGTGGAACACAACAATCATTGAGTCGTGCTACATTCGGTCGCTTTTAAGGACAAGCGGGCTAACCCAGATTTCGGGGATTTCCAGAAATCTTGACCAACATCCAAAGTGGGCTTGCTCTACCCATAGGAGAAGTTTGGTTTCATTGGCGTTTATATTTCTTTGGTTATACTAGTTATAGAGAAAGCTTTCCTAGTCTTTTAAAGAAACTGAACAAGGGGCAGAAACTTTACCTTCAATTTTCTCAAAAAAGCATTTTTTGGGATAGCCCCCTTGTGCTTAAAAGCGACCATTTATCTTGGGAGTTTTATGGAGTCCACTTCTATGTCTATCATACAACATGAGAGCACCTCGTTCCTTCTCTGCCTCTAAAGAAATTACCAACTCTCATTTACGCTCTTTTCCTTATAAAATTAGTTAACTGCAGGGGTAAGGACAAAGGTGAACACCCCCCCCCCCCCACTCCCCATCCCAACCAAACCCATGGTTTTATAATAACCTTTTTATAAGTCTTCTTTCTATAATAACCTTTTTATAAGTCTTCTTTCTATAATAACCTTTTTATAAGTCTTCTTTCTATAATAACCTTTTTATAAGTCTTCTTTCTATAATAACCTTTTTATAAGTCTTCTTTCTATAATAACCTTTTTATAAGTCTTCTTTCTATAATAACCTTTTTATAAGTCTTCTTTCTATAATAACCTTTTTATAAGTCTTCTTTCTATAATAACCTTTTTATAAGTCTTCTTTCTATAATAACCTTTTTATAAGTCTTCTTTCTATAATAACCTTTTTATAAGTCTTCTTTCTATAATAATCTCCAACAGCAGGATAAAACTGAAAACCCAGTAGAGACAAAGAAGTCAACAGCTTCACTTTGTGTAAGACTCCACCATACGTCATTTTGAAAAGTGATGTATGACGGAGACTCACGCTGAGCAGTCAATGTATGGTACATGCATTACGATTAATTTAATTTTCAACATTCATCAAAAAGTGAGCAAATCAGAGATCAATTTAAATGTCTGTGACAGAAGCCAGACCTAAGACTGGTTCTTCGTAAAGCGTACTTTTGAAAGAATAAAAAGGTATAGATGGCAGCCATCATGGCATAAAGGAACAGTAACAGGGCCCTTACACTACAAAATGTCTAATAAACTCTTTACAAACTGGCATATATCCACTTCATAGTTATTATAATTACACATATTACATCTTGCAATCAACCATTAAGTTTCACTTTTCTACATTATTTCAAACATTCATCTAATTACATTACTCTGAGAGCTATGTCAACTTTCCCACACTTCCCAGATCATAAGCAATGAGTGAATGGAAGGAAAACTTTAAATCTTCACATTACAAGATGTGTCACAACAGCTCTACACACTGAGAGACGTGTCACAACAGCTCTACACACAGCCAGACGTGTCACAACAGCTCTACACACAGCCAGACGTGTCACAACAGCTCTACACACAGCCAGACGTGTCACAACAGGGCGACACAGGTCACAACAGCCTGTACTTTTTGTTCTAGCACCACAGTTTTACACAACCTAGTCAGTAACAGTTCGCATAAACAAAGCTCAATAGAGCTTTTCTTTTTGCCTCTTTAACAAACAACAACAAAGTGTGCACCATAACATCACTTTGTTCTCAACGTCACGGAGCAATTGAGTTCCTTTCAGGATTCTTAATCACGGGCTGTATGCAATACTGCCCGCGTAATAGACCCTCAGTGGCAGAACTTATCATGGTCTCCATATTTCCAAGAAGAGCACTTGAAACAAGTTAACACCCCCATGACAGAACATTAGTCCACCATAAGTCTGCCCCCCCCCCCCCTCCAAAGCAGAATAGAAACATGTACCACAAGGATGGAAAAAACACAACTCCACAACACAAAGAGGAGTAACAGCAGGGCCAGCAAGAACTGAATCCCCCACATTTTCACTTCGTGTCAAACAACCTAACCACTCTACTACCACTGACACCCCTTATCTAATATGCATCTGGGTCATTTACTTCATAATCATGTCTTTTCCTTCACGCCCCCCCCCCCTCCCCCTTCCACCCTCCCCAACAGAATTTCCTTTCATCATACTTAAAATCATTTTCTTTCCTGACGTCGTCCAATAATTCCGTAGAACCATATTATGTCTCTGTACACAAAAGACAAAGACAGCATGTTCACATGAAGAGGCAGAGACTTTGTACACCTGGTCACTTCGCTGTTTCTCCCATCTTCCTTCTCTCTCTGGCCAATTTCCTCATTCTGTCGTTTCTGATCAGCGATCTGACTTGATGACGCCGGCATCTGAAGAAGAAAAAGCCAAAAGCAACTCGATAAGCAACTACTAACACTTAGCATATCTTCTGTGTCAGACTGACTGTGCACATTTAGGCTCTTGGACTCGCAACTGTATGGTCATGTGTTTGAAAGGCACTTTACAGAAATTTTGCCAAAGTTGTTAAGTTTTCATTAAGAAATAACTTCCAGTGAAAACCCCTGATTTTTCTCGGAATTTTCCTCTTAGTGGTACTATCGATAGACAAAGATGGTCCAATTTACTCATTCCCTTTGTACTGCGATCACTGTCTGTGGTCCAAATACAACGTATCTTCCACACGACTCTAAAAGCATCAGGAGGCTTAAAGTAAGGCATTAAAACTCATGTGTTCCACAAAACATACCCATCAGTCTTTTGCGACGGGCAATAGAAGCTCGAGCCCATTCTGGGGTGGAGTCAGACTTTGGTTTTTCTGGCTCTGAAATCAAATAAACAACAATAAACATCAGCAACAACAACAACGTTTAACAAATCAATTACAAAAATGAAAAAATGAAACCCAACTTCTCAACTTCACCAAAAACTCTGAGCCTACAATAAACAACAGTACATTTTTCTTAAAATGCATCAAAAACAAAAATGAAGGAGCTAATATAGTAAGACAAAAAATAAATTCTATCATTGCCTCAGTAATGATTGCGCAGCCCCCAACCGCGCTATGACGATCCTATCAGAATGTCAGTAAACAGGTACCAAGCCTTCTAAATTGACAGAAAAAGTGGCTTGCAACCGTAAGTGAGAGTTCAACATGCTGCAACCCTGTAGGCTACATCCCTGCAAGGGATTAAAAGAGGAGGAATCTGCTCCCGGGAGGAATTACTCAAAAGCTATGCCAGTCACCTGTAGAAGGATATTCTCATCTCATCATTATCTGTATATTCTGGAAAATGTCCATTTCCAATTGAGGACAAAAGACTAAAATATATTCCCCTTAACAATTGAATTTGTAACTCTACCCCCCCCCCCCCCCCCCCCCCCCCCCCCTTGCACATCATCAATTTTTTTTTTAATGAGTGAGGAGGAGAAGAGCATAATGTTAGCACAGCTAGTATCATGCAGCTCTACTCTTTGAGACTGATCATCCTAGTTCGAATTCCCAATTGGGTTATTTTTAAAACTTTGGCTGCTTGGGGAATGTTCATGGGTCTCCAGCCTCTCTTGGATCTGTCCTACGAGACATCAAAGCTAATTTTGGAGGTCTCACCTCTCAAATGTCAAACGTTCCACTGCACAGCCCTAAATATCATCAGAGCTACACTTCTCCCTCCAAGACCTAACATTGACAACACACTCTATGGAACATTACAGCAACTGCAGCAAACTTGCACTTATCACTACATGGCATTGGACAGAAGGGCAAGAGCCTAGCTGTTGCTGGATCGATAACAACAACAACATCAACAAATGACCGCAACGTGTTTGAAAGGGAGTGTCAAACTCACACAACCATACCTTTGTCAGGAACAAAGCTGCGCCGTTTGTTGGACAGCTGTTGTCTCCACTTCACGGGTGACTCATCTTCTTCTTTGGGCTGGGATGGGGAATTATTTCCTTGGGGTGTCTGCCAGATGTGAGCAGAAGAAAGCAAAGTGTGATAACTGGTATAAAATGTAAAAAAAAAAAAATGCAATTTCCTGTATTAGCGATTTACAAAAAGCTGTCACTTTTCAGATTTTTCACTTATGTTTAGTGATTCTAAAGACAGCCACTTTACACTAGTTTTCCCCACTTCACCCAGGTGTGAATGGGTACCCTGGCCATACACTGCAAAAGATCTTGTCAGTAGGTTAGTAAAATGAGTCTATCTGCCAGTTAGTTACAAGTTGTATTTTTCTTTACAGCAGCCTTTTGTTAAGTCCAAAAGCATGCTACGTCATGTTGTAGTGGTGCAAGTGACCCCAGTACAGATACCCGTCACACCATTCTCGGATTTAGGCAGTTTCATAACAAGTCAAATAGTCAAAGGCAGTTTCATAACACAGTCAAACCTGTTCCAACGACTACCTGCCCAAGACAATCAATCACCTGCATAAACAATGTGTCAATAACAAAGCTCCCTCATATCTTAGTGATCTAATCCAGATTTATGCTCCATCTAGATCATTAAACCCATTTTCTGTTGACGTTCCATTTCTTTTTTTCTTTTTACATATAATAGACATACTACTTCACAAGTAGCAACAATGTGTTTCATTTGGCAAAATTTTATTTTTTTGGTACCCAAAATTGTAAATAAAAATTCGTCCTTTGGACGAAAGGAAGAAAGGACATTCAGAATGTACTGAATACATACGTCAATTGAACGCATTACTGAACAAGGAAACATAATAGAGCAGGAAACAATTTGAAATGAAACCTTTTTATTGTTCTTGAAGACATTTTTCTTGATAAAGCAATTATCATTATGTTTAGATAATTTTTGTGAACTTGTGTAGAATTGTAAGGTATGCAAGAAAGATACAGTATATAAAATATATTTAAAAAACAACCCAAAACCAAGATTTTATATAATTTTTTAAAAAGCATGATTTCATATCAGATCAGCCATAATATTCAACACTGGAGTAAAAAAGAGTATATTTTAGTGAAATACACCACTAAAAGACGCTGTAAGATCAAAATGAATCCAAATATAATCCAAATAGGCCTATTCGACTTAGGAATGGAAAGCAATAGAGCATGCCCGATGTAGCATACTTGAAGATTGCATCCGGTGACATAAGATTTGCCATTTTGCAAGAGTGTGCACAATTTCTCTTCGATTCTCTGCTACTGCTTCGGCGTTGAATCATGATGATGCCCCCCAAAAAACGGACTGTTAGATTGCATGGTCAACTTTCCTCTTTTTTGCAACTTGCTGGAGAATTTGCAAATGCAGGTGCTTTTCAGCATTATTTCTGTACCTTGCGCGAAACTTGCAAAATGAGTTGGTGGTGAGGAAATGTTCTATACAAAAAGCTCTCTGCTCTTTACTAATCTTAACCATGATCACAGCAGGCAAAGGAAACTTGAGAAAAACTATCTGCAAACTTCTGTCGGCCTGTTAGACTACTGTAGTATGCAATATGGCTCAATCGTTGGGATTTTTAGTGGTAGGCCTTATGCGAACTAATGCGTCATGCTACAAAAATGGGGACATAGCTGAAAATGGGCTGTTATTTTACACGCTGCGTAAAACAAAACTATTCTGTTGATTTTTCTAAACTGAATATCAGACAAATTCCTTTTGACTTCCAAATGTTGTGTACAAATGTGAAGCGCAAAACTTCAGAGTGGAGGAAAATATTAACAATATTAACAAAAAAAGTTGTAGTTGTTCTTTTTTATTACCCTGTAGAAATGACCTACATTATTATTATACTTATTACATTCACTTCTCAGTCTCTCATAGAGTCTTTTCTGAAGACACTGTTGAAGAGGACCACTAGCTTAACTCTTTTATCTCCGAGGGGGGTAACAAAACCCACTATGCCGGGGCTCTTTTTTGGTACTAAATCTATAATTTACAAAAACGACACTAAATTGGTAATTAAATCAAAACAAATGAACCTGTTTTGACAGATCTTCACCTAATGAATGAAATCCCGATAAAAGAGACCTGTTTTTTGACAGATCTTCACCTAATCAATGAAATCCCGATAAAAGAGACCTGTTTTTGGCAATTGCCGAAAAGTAATTTGACGTCGAAGTCGTAATAAAGGAATGTACCCAGCGGCACAGTGGTTCTACCATGAGCCGCTGGAAGCGGCTTGCTGAAGATAAAGGGCGGTTGTTTCAGACAAGTTCGACTATGCGCTGCTTTAAAAAGCTAAAAAGTGGTGTAAAGAAAAAAAATGTGAATATCATCCAACCTTTTTGTCCACCTTCCTCAGCTGCACACCAAACATTGGCTTTTTGTCCGCGGCTTCGTTCTGGTTACTGCGCCCATTGGCGCTGGAGGTTAGCTTTGTCTTGGTGGGCGTAATCGACGTTGGTCCTGTCGTAGGTGTGTTACTGATGCTGCTGCTACGGAGTTGCTTGTTCGTGTCATCTGCTTTCTCTTTCTTGTTCTCCTCTTCTTTCGAAATCACAGTGAGCTGAGGACTCTTCTCAACTGATAGTGGTGATTGTTTCACTGACGAGTCTGAGGGGATGAGAGAAACCATGAAAGATAAAATACGAAAGACCCGGGCTGTATGACAGCAGAAAAAGATGCTTGCTGGCGGAAACATGCAGACAGATTTAATTTGACAGAGGCCAATTTGCTACCTTCAGATGAAGAGCAAAGAGTGTTTGCCATCTTCTTAAAAAGTCATTATCAGTATCTGACTTGAATCAATAATACAACCCCCCCCCAAAAAAAAACAAAAAACAACCCCAACCTTTACAGCAACGTTATTATCTCTAAAAGTTAAAAAGAATTTTAGTATGATTTAAAGACTATTCAGCCTCTCTCCCCAATCATTGACCTCACTTTTGTTATTATAAAATAACCAATACAGCTAGACAAGTGATTTCACAGATTTGTAGAGGATGAAAAGACTTACGTTTTTGTAACCCTTATATGCTTTGATTAAAACAACATCGAGCTTACCCACAACAGATAAGTACACTATCACAGTGTTAAGAATAAAATATGACTCATCTGATATTCATGAAAAATCTTTTGCAGAATAGACTTTAAAGATGTAAAGAGTTAAACTTGAGAAAACTAAAGGGTTAAAATAAAATAAACCCCCCCCCAGCAACGTCACACACTACAAAAATCAAGACGAAAATTCTGTAAGCATAACTGACCTGTAGTCGATGACGACACAGTAGATCCTGCAAGCTCGATGTGTGCAGTGCTGTTCACAGAGTTATCCCGTGACCTCTGACCCTCAAAGCTATTGAATGAATTGTCCCTTGACCGTAACTCAACGCGTGTGGCACTGGTGCCGAATGGTGTGGCATCGGAGCTGGAGACAGAACTCCCTCTTGATTTGGACTCATTATCCGAGCCACTGAGCGGAGAGCGGAATCCAATCGGAGCGTAAGCGCTGCCTGAAATGCTACTTTTGCGGGAAGAAATGGACGAACTTCTATCCTTTTCCAGTGGGGATTCGACATGGCTGACACTGGACTTCCTGCGCAGTTTAGTCGTCTGCTCCACATCCTTCATGGCGTCATTCTTTTCTCTCTCCGATGATTTGTCACTGGCATCGATGGAGGACAAAGAAGAGCCTGATATGCCAGAATTACCTGATTTTAGATTTTCACTTTTTTCTTTCGATTCTTCACCATTGGCTTTTTCTGCATCAGACTTCTTTCTATTCTCTGACTCTGACTTCAGCCTTGCGAGATAAGATGAAGACGAACTGGTGGGAGTGTCTGAAGTTTTACCGAGTGTTGATCGAAAACTTCCGGTAGGTTTCAGCTCTTTTTTAGGCGGTATCTCTGAATTCGACTTACTCAAGTCTACCCTGAAACTTCCAGTAGTGCGAAGAAGATCTCTCCTTGACACAGGAGCATCTGCAGAAGAGGATGACGATGATGAAGATGGTGGAGGTGGGTTTGGTTTGCTGAGGGGTGGCAAAGGTTTCTTTGTGGGGAACTCAGAAGCCTGCGAGGTTTCCTTAGGAGGAGAATCTACAGCAGGTGACCCCAGCAAACTCGCTCTTTTCGGTTTTGAAGGCAGAACAGGTTTACTGGGGATGGTAGGTGGGACTCGACCATCGGGTTTTGGCTTCAAGGGTGGCGGGGGACCTCCACGTCGAGCAAGTTTCGGAGCGGCGGCACCAACAGCGGGCGGAGCGACCTTCGAGTCAGGTGATGGGGGCGCTGCACTGACTGACGCCGAATCCTCCATCTTTCTGCTTCTCATTTCTTGGAACAGAGAAGAACTATTTTTCACCTCTACCGTTTTCTTATCCGTTTCAAGTGCAACATTCGCTTCAGTGTTTTCTGTGGACTCCTTTGCCGTACTAACATTTTTCGAATCTTTCAGCAGTTTACTCGGAAGGGTTTTGGGCAAAACACGAGGCAGGGCCACTGGCTTTGGCCTTACAGCCGGGGTGGGGGCAAGGGCGGGGGCCGGGGCCGGGGCGGACCCACAGCTCGATGCCAGGCCCGAGACGGAGTTGTCAGCAGTAACAGGAACAACTGGACTTGGGGGCTTCATGGCAGCCTGGGCAGGAAATCCAGGCACAGAGCTCTCATTGCGTTCGGGGGAATGTTTTCTTTCTGCTCGCTTGAATGACTGTAATAAAAAATATCAGTCAATGAGGCTTTAGAGTTTGGTTTTAAATACAACATACCGGTAGTATCAGAAAACATGCAAACAGGTACAAGTTTTCAAAATAGAAGTGGAAAGCATTTTTGAAAGTAATGGACAGGTAGATTCTATGGAACATTACAGTAACTACATTACACTTATATTTATCACTACATGGCACAAGAAAGGAGGGTGAGAAACCACCTGTCGCTGGATCAATAGCAATAAAGTAATAGCAAGTCCGCTAAAAATACAGAAATATGTTTTACAGGCTCAAAGAAAGGAGTACAACCAGGAATATTTTTTTCTCAGCTTGAAATCACTAGATCAAGCCTCACCCTAGACTTTGTAAGACCCTCCAGCAACCCTGGTATCTTGACACCCCCAGCAAACTTCTTGATCACCGGCTCTGCCTCCTCTGGTTTGTTGGGCTCGGGTTCGGGTTCAACAACAGCAGTTTTCTCCTCTTCCTTGTCTTCTGCAGGTGGTTTTGCTGGTCTCGGTTCTGAGGATAAAAAGACGATAATTCACATTAGAATCAGGTATTTCGAATTTCTTTCACAACATATTATATAAATACATATATCTATATACAAACACTTATATGTATGAGTCTTTGCCAATAGGTGAGGATTTCTTCATATACATTACAAAATCCTTTCCAATTCCAATAAAAATAGTTCAACAGCTTTGAAATTTGCGCATGTAATATGATGTTTCAGGTATGGGAGCAGAGAAATAGCAGTTGGGTTATAAGAAGAAATCTTACAAATATTCTTAGCTCTGAAATCGATGTATTTTTAGAATGCAAAACGTGATGCTCCGAGTTTGTACTTTTTCTGTAGTTAAGTTCAAGAATGAAATAATTGCTGTGAAACTCGTCCTTCTACACTTTTACTACTATAACTACATTATTAGCGGTGCTATATCAGGAATAATGATATCTGTAGCTGTTTTTTCTTTGTGAGCCTTCTAGATTTTCATTTTCGAGCATAACTTGTGTAGTCATTTCGCATGGCAACTTCGATTCCCTGTGACTTCGTTTCTATCGGCCATTTTGGGGCCCTGGGACGAGAATAATATCGATCAATGTTTACTCTCTACCCTGGCTGATTCTGAGGCTGTGACTGTGTGTAATTTTGCAGAAAACAGAAATCCCACGACACCTCGTGCTCTGTCATCATTTGTTATGCTCGAAAGAACCAATCAGAAAACGAGAAACAATAGGAGTGGAGGAACATGCATTGTTCCCGTCGATCCATTCAAAGCGTTTTGTTGTGCGATGCAAGATGGCGGGAAGAATAACAAAGGTCAAGTAGTGGTAGATCTAGATGCGACCACGCGTGCTTAGCTAGATGTCAATGAGAGGGGAAAATTTTATGTAAATTGATGATATGTTCCAAACTGACAACAAACATTTATCCATTATGCGTCATCGTGGTTATGTTCGAAAGATATTTGGTATTTTGCATAGAGCCATAGTAAAATGTGAATTAAGTGTCATTTTTTCACCATTATCATGCATTGTGAGTCAAACTGAATGTCCTGAATCTTTGTTGGTCAAATTTTCAAAAAACTAATTAAAATATGAAAATGGAAAGTTTTTCATTTCTTTCAGATATAACTATGATGACACAAATGTGAACACAAAGACATTCAGAATTTTTTTTTTTCTGTGATTTTATATACTCTTCATGCTTATGTTTGAAAATTAAAGCAATGAGAAAACTATTAAATTAACTTTATGTTCCGTAAATTACATTTCAGGGTATTTTTCAATTGGTGTTATGATGGTTTTGTTCGAAAGATATATGTGAGGCAGCGTGGTGGAATCAGGCTCTCGTCAAAATAATCAAAATGAAGAAACTTGTATTTTTCCGCAGGTTTGTGAATTTTTATTAAATTTTTGTTTTTTGGCTCAACACCTTTCATGCCCATTAAAAAACTCATTTCTGTGTGGATTTTTCAGAAAAACGTTGATTAAAGACACAGAAAATGTAAATTTTCATTTACCACGAACTCTTAAGGAAATAACTAAGCTTTAGCGGCCATTTTCTCACTAATTTTACCTCTGAAAACAGGTGACCCCCCACCTCCTTCTTTCGTATATATCTCGACTTGCATTCAAGATAAATGGATACTTTTTTCATCCAAATAAAGCCAAGTGAACAAGCTTTAAGATGATAGCAATAACTCTACATGCCCAAAAATTGACGAGAGCCTGATTCCACCACGCTGCCTCACATATTATATTTTGCAGAGATTAATAGTAAAATGTGAATAAAGTGGCACTTTTTCATCATTTACATGCACTGTGAGTCAAACTGAATCTTCTGAAACGTTGTTTGCCAAAATTTTCATAAAAGAAATTAAGATATGAAAACAGAAAGTTTTAAAAATTCTTTCTGACATAATTACGATCGCACAAATGCAAACTCAAAGGCATTCAGAATTTCTTTTTTCTGTGATCCTCACCACTTTATATGCTCTTCATGCTTATGTTTGAAAATTAAAGCAATAAGAAAACTGTTAAAATAATTTAGTAAGTTCAAATTCTAAAAAAAACATGTCATCATAGTTATGTCAGAAAGAATTTGACTTAATGTTATGTAGTGCCAGTTACACAGCTTAGCAAGCCATCTGTAGTTCTGTAAATACATGTTTTTGTAGGAGGAGATATACATGAACAGAAAAATTCAAGTAAAAACGATATATTAAAAACATTATCAACTACCCTCTGTGCTACATTTTAGGTACTCACCTATTGGCAAAAGCTCATTCGTATATACACGAGTGAGTGTGAGTGTGTGTGTGTGTGTGTGTTTGTTTGTGTGTATAATGTCAGAGAGAGAGAGAGAGAGACAGAGAGAGAGAGAGAGAGAAGGAGAGAAGGCGAGAAGAAGAGAGAGAGAGAGACAGAAGGATGGAGAAAGCAGTCAGGGAGATACACACAACAGTAAAGCGTGAAAAACCGCTACAACCGCAAACGCCATGATTCGGAGTAGTAACCACTTGCCTGTCGAGTCGTTGAATCGGTTCTCCTCGCTGTTCTCGTTCCCCGCTAGGATGGCCGCCCGACTTGGCTTCTTCCGACGTGCAATAGACCCTTTTTTGCTCAGCAACCTCTTGTGTTTACTGAGGTCAAAGTTCAGTTGTGAAGAGTCTGGGATCTGTAAAGAGAATGAAACTCTTACACATGAACTTGTGAACAATAGCAAGTTTGATTTAGTGTGATGGTGATGATGATGATACTCATGATGATGATAATAATAATAATAATGATACTACTACTACTAATAATGATAACAACAAAACTATATAATAATAATAATAATGATAATAATACTAATAATAAATAGTAATAATAAATGGCATTTGTGCAGAGAAATCGAGCACTTTCTTTGTGGAAATGCGCTGAATGAGTGAAAACTATTATTATCATTAAAGAACGAAAACTTGTATTAGCCGAAGAGAGACAAAATAAAATCTAGTCTGAACAACTTACGGCAACAACAGAGAAGTCCAGCATGTCTTGGTCAGGATTGTACGGTGCCTGGGTTTCCATCTACGAAGAGAAAGGAGGGAAACATTTGACTTTATTTCACAGATTAAAAAAATTCAACATGAACAAGCTCATATTTTCTCCACCTTTTGGTTAGAAGATGTCATTACTGCAGTTGAGTTTTTGTTTGAGTTTGTTTTTGTTATAAGTGTTTTACGGCACTTGCAACAAAATTAGGTAATAGATGTACTGAAGATTAGAAGTGTTACAAGAGAGTTACAAACACAAAAAAAGAAGGAGGACAGATAAAGACAATAAATGTCTGATAGGAAAGAAGGAGCAAACCAAACCAGAGCACCTGCCAACCACCAATGTTTTTGCTTGAGCAAATAGATGCACATTCATACAACAGCCAACATTTTGTGCAGGGAAAAGGAAGATATACAGATAGGTATAACAGAGGGAAAGAAAAGAAAAAGGACCTACCGGTGCTGCCCTCCAATCTCTCACTTGTTCTTTAGTTTGAGTTAGAGATTTATGGAACTCATAACACCAATAGGTCAAATAAGTGCTAAAAATTAGAGGTTTTACTGGCGAGATACATACAAAAAAAAGAGAGAGAAGAGATAAAGGCCACAGATGTTTGGCTGGAAAGAAAAAGCAACCACACAAGAGGACCCGCCAACAACCCACTCCCACAAAGCCAACCACGAGTCAGTTGTCAGGTATGGACATGCCAACTGCCCACGGCGGGCTAGGGTGAATATGGTTAAGAGGCAGGGACCTCCAAACAACAACTATCTCTGACAGGACAACACCATGAGACACAAACACATCACAGGACACAGACTCAATTTAACAAGATGGCACCATCAGAAACATCACAGGACACAAATCAACAAACAAAACAGCACCATTGGACACAAATCAACAAACAAAACAGCACCATTGGACACAAATCAACAAACAAAACAGCACCATTGGACACAAATCAACAAACAAAACAGCAGTATCGAATACACATACATCACAGGACACAAATCAACTAAAAAGTCACAGCATGCATCATCAGAGACATCGAAGGACATAAAACTACAGAAAAGACGTCACAATTTTAAAAAATAATCTCAACACAAAAATCAACAAACAAAAGAACATGACATTGTCTTTTTGTTTTAGTAAAGGTTTTACGGCACTTGCAACTGCATAAAGTCATATAAGTGCCAAGGGGTGGGTGTCAACAGAGAAGTCCCTACAGGGATCAGGCTTACTCTGCTCACCTCTCTAACTTCAACAGCACAAGGTCTACTTCGACTAACAAGGCACCCCGGAAATAGCGGGTCACAAGAGTGTGATAAACATACAAAAGAAGTGAAGAAAAAATGACGATAGTTAGCAAGGATTAGGAAAGAAAAAGCAGTTCCCTGTTGCAGTTCAGGCACATTATGAGCATGACATTGATAAATCAGCCCATTCACAATTACAATTCTACTGTGCATAAGAACATTGTTAATGTCCCCCCTTTTAGAAAGGCCTAAAGACACTTCAGTCAGTAGCACCGTCCCGGTGGGGTAGCACCACAGAACATAAATCAAAAGACATGACATCACAATGAGAAACATCATAGAATACAAAGTCACACCAACAAGGCAGCACAATCAAACACAGACATACATGACAAAAATCAAGACACTATTCAAGAAACATCACAGGACACAAACACCTACAAACCTGAACAATCTCTCTATTCTCTTTCCCGTCCACCATCTCCTTCTCTCCCTTTCCATCCATCTTCTCTTCCTCCGACACCTCTACTGTCTTCCCCTCCATGACGCCGTCATTTACGTCAACACTGGGTGTGGATACCAGGATATCGGGGAAAGATTCCGTCTCTGCGCTCACCTCAGGACTTGACTTCACGACAGACACCGGCCCATCAGTTTCATCAGTCTGGTTGTCTGAGGGTGTGGTAAAGCTTGACACCTGAAATGATAAAATTTTTAAAAAATTAAAAATATATATATATATACATATACAGGGTGTCCAAAAAGCTGCGCATCATCCTAAAATTCTTCTTTTTTTTTTTCTCTCCTTGTTTCAGGTTGAATGATTCAGAAGTTTATTAGTGAGGAAAAAAAATGGCCGAGATAGAATTGAAATTGTACTTATGTTCGGCAGACTTGTACTAATGAAAATGGTGTTCAATTCGCTAAATACACAAGAACAAAACTATAAAATGTTTCATGGATCACTATTTTACACAGATCATGTTTCTACAGGTAAAGAACTTTTTCTCCAGTGTAATTTATACAAATTCATACACATGAACACACAGAAGATACACATACACACACACATAATATACATACACAGGCAGTGGGCTTTCGTGGCCTAGAAGTTAAGGTGTTCGCCTCTCATTCAAAGGTCCCGGGTTCAAATCCGGGTAGCGACGGAAAATGTTCTTCTCTCAAATTTTCTCCTTTCCTACTCTCTAGCAATGTTCTGTCATCTGCTTTTGACTCCGCTTTCTGACCCCCACCCCCTCACCTCCTTTGCCCCCTCTTCTGGGCTACTGACTCTTTCTGCAGCCTTTCTACCGCTACTCCCTGGCTCCTTCTTACTGCTGTCTTTCAGCCACAACCCTGATCTTATGGTAAGTAAGATCTACACCTAGCCTTCTTGGACCAGGGTGGAAAACCTCAGTCCAGTGAGTAAGTTGTGCACTTTAAAGATCCCTTAGAGGTCGAAAATCGATCAGAGTAGGCTTCAGCCACCACCCGGGCAAAATTCAACATTTCCTACCAACTGAAAATGTTTGGTGTGTCTCACACGCTCATATGACCTTATGCAATTGCGAGCGCCGTAAAACACTTACACACATATATATTTAGCTTCTTTTGTTATTTTTTAAGCTTCAATAAATCAAATATATATTCTTACATTTTTCCAGTGATCCGGTATCTTACAGATTGAGTAGCCTAGAAGCCTATTCATGATATATCTGTGTCTAGTGTTCTAGCTTGATATAACCATTGTGTCTAGTGTTCTAGCTTGATATAACCATTGTGTCTAGTGTTCTAGCTTGATATAACCATTGTGTCTAGTGTTCTAGCTTGATATAACCATTGTGTCTAGTGTTCTAGCTTGATATAACCATTGTGTCTAGTGTTCTAGCTTGATATAACCATTGTGTCTAGTGTTCTAGCTTGATATAACCATTGTGTCTAGTGTTCTAGCTTGATATAACCATTGTGTCTAGTGTTCTAGCTTGATATAACCATTGTGTCTAGTGTTCTAGCTTGATATAACCATTGTGTCTAGTGTTCTAGCTTGATATAACCATTGTGTCTAGTGTTCTAGCTTGATATAACCATTGTGTCTAGTGTTCTAGCTTGATATAACCATAGTTCAAACCACCTACAAAAAACCCAAACCCTTCCCACCTAAAAACCCTCCCACAAAAACCAACATGATAAAGCTGTGTAGGCCGACCGTTGCAGTGGTGATCAGACAATAAAACATTCCTTAACACTTTGCAGCCACACAGCCAGCAGTACAAAATACCCCATCTGGTTGCCCAGCCAAGAGAGTGGCTGCAACAGACTTTTCGGGCCTGGTGTAGTGACCAGCACAGATAATTGTCACCATCACATTATTGTGGTAGGTGAATGCAAAGTGTTAACGATAAAAGATTTCAACTCACCTCTGGCAGGTCGGCGGAGACGTCGTCAAAGAAATCTAGCAAGTCCGGTGGACCTTTGGTCACTTGCGGAGGTGGGACATCTACGGAGTCACTCGTGCTGTTGCCTAGACCAGACAGCAAGTCCACCTCAGTGGCAGAAAAACCATTCGTTCCCTGGTTTGGAGGATACAAGAATGAATCTCATTAGTTTGTTTTTTAATCTAGGTGTCCTAACGCCTATAAATTTAAAAAAAAAAAAAAAAAAACCCAACCCAAAACAATCTTTTACAAAACCTCCACCTCTGTGGCATGTTTGTTTTAGTAAGGTTTTGCGGCGCTTGCAACTGAATAAGGTCATATGAGCCCCAAGGGGTGGATGTCAACAGAGAAATCCAAATGAGGAATCAGGCTTACTCTGCTCACCTCTCCAGCCTCAACAGCACAAAATCTACTTTGACGATTAAGGCACCCCGAGAAAGCTAGGTGTAGATCTTTCCTACCAGAAGATCAGGGTTGAAAGAGCGGTAAGAATGAGCCAAACAGTTGCAGTAGAAAGGCTGCAGAAAGAGTCAGGAGCCCAGAGGAGGGGGCAAAGGAGGTGAAAGGGTGGGGGGAGAAAGCGGAGTCGAAAGCAGACGACAGAACATCATTGGTAGAGAGCAGGAAAGGAGGCGAAAGGAGACAATTTTAGAGAAAAAAAGTTTCCGTCACTACTCGGATTCGAATGAGAGGCGAACACCTTAACCTCTCGGCCACGAGAGCCCCCAGGTGGGATTGTGTACCCGACTATACACGGGGAACGATCTTGTCAGCGTTTTAGTGTTTAGCCAGCAAGTTGCACCGTATGCTTCCCGCGAAGCCGAGAATGTTTCTGAGTGTTCTAGTATTTGCTGGAGTGATAATTAATTATAATTATAGACGTAAAGCGCAAAGAGCATGCTGTATCAAGCTAAACGTTATTATTGTTCACATTACTGTTCATTTATATTATGCATGTGATTGTGAGTCTGTTTGCGAGTGCAAGTATACAGCGTGTGTGTGCATGTTTGTGTGTGTGTGTGGGGGGGGGGGGGGGGTGCGTGTGTGTGTACGTGTGTACGTGTGTACGTGGTGAAACACCAAACCAATGTGCCAGGATCTGGACAATAAAGATGTATCTTATCTTATCTTATCTGAACTTATCTAAGCGCAGTATGAATACACTGATAAGGGTGATAATGGTGGTAATGATAATGATGATGGTGATGATGATGATGAAGATGATGATTGTTTAAAATGTTCCTGATGAAGCCGTACAGCGAAACGTTGAATCTATTATATATTTTGAAAATCCTACCAAGTTTCAACTTTCTAAATTCTCTGTTTACGACGACGATGACGACGACGACGACGATGATGATGATGATGATGATGATGATGATGAATGATGATAATGACCATTATTATGGAGTTCAGCACGATACAACTAAGTTAACAATTTGCATTCATGTTGGGAAGAGGCGTAATTCAAACAGAAGAAGCCACAGTCGAATGCCACTCGGAGGATAGGCCATGACCGCATATTCAAGTATTGGGTTACAATAATAATGATTATACGAGGCCGGCCCAGCGGCCGTGTCGTTCTATTTGGCCGAGCCAGCGGCTGTGTCGTTCTATATGGCCGGGCCAGCGGCTGTGTCGTTATATACGGGCATGTTGAGCGGTTGTGTTGTTATTTATATAATATTGTCACCACGAGGTAGAATCAGGCGCTCGTCAATTTTGGGGCACACGGGGTAATTGGCATCGTCTTAAAGTCTGTTCGTTTGTTTTCCTTTTAGTGAAAAAATACCCAACGATGTTGAAAAGAAGTTTAAGTATTTGCGATAGAAGGATGTCAGGGTCGCCTTGTTTCAGAGGCATCATTAGAGAGAAAATGGCTGCCACAGTTTGGTAACTTCAATAGCCTGAGAGTCCTTGGAAACTGAAAATTTACATTTTTTGTGCTTTTAATCAAGGTTTTTCCGTAAAATTCATACAGCTATGAGTTTTGAGAAGGACATAAAAGGTTTTGACCGCCCCCCGCCCCCCACCAAAAAAACAACCCCCAGACAAAAAGAAAAAAATCGCTCACCGGCCCAAAAAGTGCCAATCTCTTTGATTTTATTATCTAGACGAGCGCCTGATTTCACCACGATGCCTCACAATGGGCGTGTTGACACAGCTGGGGGGCAAAGGGTATGGCAGTCAGCTCAAGCGTGGAGATCTATTCCTGTGTGTGTGTGTGTGTGTGTGTGTGTGTGTGTGTGTGTGTGTGTGTGTTGTTTGTGTGTGTATGTGAGTGTGTATGTGTGTGTGTTTGTGTGTTTTTTGTGTGTATGTGAGTGTGTGTGCTGTGTATGTGTGTGTGCTGTGTATGTGTGTGTGTGTGTG